CTTAAAATCAAAAATTTTGGGATCTTAGCACTTCAAACGCTCGGGATTCGCTCTCAAAATGGCGAAAAATGTGGAAAATTTTCGAAATTTGAAAAAACGCGAAGCCAAGGAATTAAATTCCAGGCAAAGGGCTTAAAATCAAAAATTTTGGGATCTTCGCACTTCAGACTCACGGGATTCACTCTCAAAATGGCGAAAAATGTGGAAAATTTTCGAAATTTGAAAAAACGCGAACCCAAGGAATTAAATTTCAGGCAAAGGGCTTAAAGTCAAAAGCTTTGGGATCTTAGCACTTCAGAACCACGGGGCTCACTCTCAAAATGGCGAAAAATGTGGAAAATTTTCGAAATTTGAAAAAACGCGAATCCACGGAATTAAATTCCAGAGAAAGTGCCTAAAGTCAAAAATTTTGTGATTTTAGCACTTCAAACTCACGGGATTCACTCCCAAAACGACGAAAAACGTGGAAAATTATCGAAATTGGAAAAACGCGAAGCCAAGAGGCTGAATCTCAGGGAAAGGGCTTAAAATCAAAAATTTTGGGACTTTAGCACTTCAAACGCACAGAATTCAACCCCAAAACGGCGCCAAAATGTGGAAAGTTTTTGAAATTTGAAAAATGCAAACCAAGAAACTGAATCGCAGGGAAAGGGCTGAAATTTAAAAACTTTGGGACTTTAGCGCTTCAAACGCACAAAATTCAATCCCAGAACGACCGTAAAACGTGGAGAATTTTCGAAATTTGAAGAACGCAAATCCAAGAAGTTGAATTTCAGCGGAACGGCTTAAAGTCAAAAAGATTCGGGATCTTAGCCCTTGACTTCAAACGCACGAGGCCCAATCCTCAAACGATGGCAAAACGTGGAAAATTTTCGAAATTTGAGAACGCATATCGCTTACGTCTTTGCCTTGTTTGGTTTCTTATTTTGGGGAGGAGGGGGATCCTAGTGGGAGGGATGTTATCGGACGCTCCAAGCTAGTACAAGTATCATCGCCGTAAGTACAAGTGCTTCAAGTAATACACCTCGAAGACCTGGTACCAGTTGATGACACGGATCTGGATTGCCTTGTGGACGAAGATGTTGCCCTGAACTTCACAGTCCGTGTCAGCAAATCGTGGTGGACAGACCTTTCCACAAGGCGATCGTCTCAATGCGCCGATAAGAGGAGGACCAAATGAGGTCCTTGGCGACGGTCGTTTTCCTCCAGCGATGGATGCGTCGACTGGCGGTTTCAGGTGAAGGTCCGGAGCGGGTGGAGCAGCGTTGTTGGGGGGATTAGAAGAAGATATGAAGAAGAAGATCAGGTCAGGAACAGGATATCATGATATATATAATGTCATCGACAAGAAATTCTTTCGTCCTTAACATTTTTCTCTGCCACAGCCGGAACATCCTTGGACGCATCTTTTTTTATTCCCGCACCTGTTGCCGGAGAACTGCTCTTCAGCAACGATGGTCCTGTGACAGAAGTGGTACTAGACTGCGCTGACCCTCCTCCTTCTTGATCACTACCACTAGATGCGGACTTCTTTTCTCTCGCACCATTCTCTTCCGCAGTATCTTTCGCATTCGCATCCAACGGATTCTCGACTTTAGCGGCAGGAGCGACTGCACCTGCAACAACAGGAGAGCCGATCGGGGATCCGCGTGGCGTAGAATTTGATGTTTCGGACGTTATGTCAGCCGCAAGCCTCTCATCTGTAGACGAGGCGCGCGGAGTTGGCATCCTCTGTCTTTTATTTCGTGTTGAGCTTTGTTGTTGTTCCTGTAGTTTGCTGGTAAAACTAATTCGAATTCAACAGTGATTATTCTGCTTATCTGATGACCGACGCCACGTGGTCTGAAGTGGTTGAGTTTGTAGATTGAATGAAGATTGTAATTATCACGAAACAAGTGTAAAAGCAGAGCAGTGTTTCTTAGAAAATGTGCGCCATTTTGCTTGTTGCATAGGTTTGCAGCTGACTTTGAGACCACACTGTGGTGAAGCTATGCAGCGTATCTTCGACTCGTGACAAACAAGAAAAGCTGCTTCGCTCGCCATTTTTGTTGTTCTCCTCAAACTGATGCGACGCAATCCATTTTTGAAACATGTTCTTGACCTTCTCTATCCACTGAAACTTTCACGAGGATGGCAAATTTGGCCACAGTGGTCGGTCACGGCTGAACAAATGTTCGTCGAACACACATCAATTCAAGTACTTACATGAAAATTGAGGTTCTCACAATATTTCAGAAGACAGCAACGCCGAAACACTATGAGGACCGTCAGACATGTTGTTCATGACCATGTATACTTATACGTAAAAATTCTTCACATCGATCTGTTCTTCGTCGGGTCCACGACCACTTCTATGTATCAACCTCGACGTCTCTGTGCAGAGAATGCAACTAATTCGACGTATTTTCTCTTCATTGTTTTCCACAGTAACTATCATCTTTTACAGACTTTCTTGGAACTGGTCACTCTGTTTCTTCACAGCTGTTGCCGCATCGCGGTCACGCTTCTACGACTACGTCATATGAAGATCTTTCTATCGATTCTGCGTACCCCGCACCGCAAATCTTTGGTGCCGTTTCGTGGTTTCAAAAAGGACGCTGACAGCGCGCGTCGTCCGCCTCGAGCCATAGAGTGCCTTCTGCAACAGTCCAGCAGTCTGTTGATTGTGGGAATGATTTTGAATAAAGTCCAATTTATAGGAAAAAAGGTATACATAGTCCAAAAACTGATGCTATTCATTGCAAATGAAAAAAAGTTGGAAATTGAAACTATAGCTGCACCTTCTCACTTTCCGTATCTCCTTTCATCTCGCCTCCACTTGCACTTCCAGCATCCGTCGTGTTGTATTGCACTTTTTCTACCTCCGTTGGTGCTAGATCTTCTAACGTTTCTTGTGCTGCTACTCCCTCAAACTCCTCCGATGGTGCTAGATCTCCTAACGTTTCTGCTTGTGCTGGTACTTCCTCAAACTCCTCTGCCGATGGCGTTTCCGGCACTGGTTCTTTACTAGCAGCGTCTCCTGATGGCCTTGGTGGTGCTGCAAACACGCAACGACTTGAGGTGGACCTGGGCTTCATAGTACTAGGACTATTTTTACTAGTTGTTGAAGAAGAAGTAGTCGTAGTCGAAGCCCGCCCATTCACCTGGTGTTGTGTTTGGTCGATAGTTTCCTTGCTTCTTGATAACGATGCCGTGAGGGGACCCAAATCTCCAAATTGGAATTTTTTAGCTTCTTCAACTGTGTCCTCCTTTGGTGCAACGACGACTTGAGCAAAGACCCGACCCCGACCGAGGAAGCCAGAAGACGCGTCTTGGACGAGAACTTCTACAGGCTTTATTATCGTACTGGTACAACTAGTAGTAAGATGCCGCCGCATGACCGAGGTGTGGTCGATGCTGCTTTTATTCTTGTCCGCGGACAAATAGGAGTTTTTCTTGAGAGGTTGTGTCTTCGTGTCCTTTGAAGATGCAGATGGTCTGCTGGCAGAAGAAGATAAAAAAGGTGAACAGCGATCGGCCGAAGAAATCTTTACGTCACTAGTACGTCGTCCTGAAGAAAGCAGATCACTAGACCGTCTAGTACTACTTCCTGATGATGGGCGAGGTTTGAAGGCCAATCCGCCCTCTGATACGCTGCTAGAGGATGATTCTTTACTAGAAGCCTGTTGATGAATTCTTGGAGGTGGATTGTAATTTACTTCTTGTTCTTCCTTCTTGTTTATCTGCTTTGTCGTCGTGTACGGCTGGGACGACTGCTTCCCTTTAGAAGTCGAACTCGTCGTCTTGTTTCCTTGATCCTTGTTCTTCACTGGACCATTTTTGAATTTCTTCGCTGACGGAACGCCAACGCTAGCCGCAAGCATAGCTCGTGCTTTTCGGTGGGGCCTGTGCTGTGGACCTGCTTCGCCGAAGTTCGGAATGTCCTCTTCAGGAATGGGAATGGACGTCACCTCACCTCCAACTCGACTTGCAGTTGCCTTTGGAATTGATGTACTGCGAAGTCCCTCTCTTCCACCCCCACGAATAAAGAATACTGGACGTCTGGAAGTAGATGAACAGGACTTGTCATTAAATTTCTTCTTGGTGGAAGCCGAAAGGGAAAGACTAGAAGAAGTGGTACAACTCGTAAGTAGAGGATCACTTGTGGTGCCACTGCGTAGTTGATCGGGAAAGGGTTTTTCAGCAATCGCTGCAGTGATTCCAGGAGAGGAAGATGAAGCAGCTTTATCGTGTGCTCTCATTTTATCGACCAGACGAAGAGTCAACCGTGGAACACCAGAGGCTGGTGATGCTGAGATTGGAGCATTCTCAGTAGTTGCTTGTTCCTGAACTCCTGGAGGAGTCATAGGCCGACGAAATTTGCGATCTGGATCACGTGGACGTGCGAACATGGTGCTGGAAGATGAAGATGCTTCCGCGCTCGCATGACTTTGATTGATCTTGTTGGAGGTCATCATCAAAAGGTCGTCGTTCGCATGGTTCTCATGGTCTTGTTCCTGAACACCACCGCTTGATGAAGTGTATCCCTCTGCTGGTGTGCCACTACTGTCCCCACTTCGACTTGACATGATTGTCTGCAGCATCCTGTCTTCCGCAAAATGGTGATCGAGTGTGTAATTCGATGTACCGTTCTTGCGAAACGCCAAAGAGGGTTCAACCTCTGGTGTTCGATTGCGAAAAGCGCTAGACGAGCCACGACCATCACCTGCTGCACTGCTACTACACGACGACGAACTCCCACTAAATCCGATGCGCGTGCTACCACTGCTGATAAAATCTCTCGCAGAGGGATCACTACTTCCAATCAAGTCATTGATGTTCAAAGTACTACTGGAGCCTTGTTTATAGTTTGTTCCTGGAGGCTTGTAGGCATGCAGTGAAGACGCTTCTCCTCCATCTCCTCTATGCGCCAGCACTCTTTTCAGAATTTCGCTTAGGTCACTTCCCGATTTTGCTGCAATTTTCACTGCTTCTGAAGATTCATCTTCTTCATTTACTCTCGTCTTTGAAGATTTCTTTTCCGCGACAAAACTCCTTCTTCTGGTAGTACTACGATCAGCAAGACTTTGCTTTTCTACAGTAGTTGCACTTGCGAGTTCATGACGTCCCAGTCGAGCCCTTGTGGATTGTTCTAAGCGTCTATTCAGCAATGATTCCAAACCATCGTCGCTGCTGCTGGAGTCGACTTCCTCTTCTACGCGTGCTAAACCTGAATTTTCAGCAGTAGAGCTTCCCTGGTTCCAAGAAGAGTTCGAGATCTTGTTAGAAGATGAAGGTACAGTAGTTGTCGCTGTACTAGACGGAGTTGGAGCTCCTGAAGCAACAATCTGTTTGGCAGGAGAGGTAGGACTGCGCCTTTTGATTTCTAGAGAGTCGATATCTAGACCCGGCGGAGGCGGAAGGCCGCCAACCTCGGAGAAATCTTCAGAAGGGATCCCCTCCATCATTCTTGAGGAATCTTCAACGAACAACACAATGAATAAGTAAGAGAAGCCCTTAGTGGAAAAATAAGACGAGTGATGTCCGTGGCTTTTTATGATCTTTCTAGAAGAAGTTAGAATCTAAAAAAAAAGGTGTACTGAAATTTTTGTGATGTTGAAAAGCTGCTTCTGATATTTTCTGATAATTCATCAGATCAAATTTCACTCTCCAAATTTGTTAAAAAAGGAACAAGAGGGAGAAAAAGGTGGTAGCTGAGATGATCGACAAGAGAACCGATTTTGTAATACATAGATAGGACCGACCGAAACTAGATTTCGTCCTTGAAGATGTTGATACCGAGACACATGTCGTGACAGATCATGATCATAAGGCGTTACTGGATCACATTCAACATGTCAGACGTACTTGATCCTTCACTACCACGAACTTGCTTTTACATCACCGATGAGACTCATCACGCTTTTCTACCTTTCCAAGATAACACGACAGTCGTATCCGACACCGTCAGGCGTACGCCCAAGAAGATGTTGAGCGCATACTTCCGTTTCTTGTCGCGTGAAAGTTCTTCTTGCAGTGAGGATTTCATTTGGGGTAAGGAATTAGGTTCGCGGGATCTCGTACGTTGTAAGATGCTGTAATATACTTAATACTCGAGCTCGCGTCGATGAACATCTAGTACTGGTGGATAGTACATAAACATGGAAGGCCTTGTTACGAATCGAAAGTCGCAATGATCCAAGTTCAGCTGTGCCAATTCTAACCCCTCAAAACAGCAAGTGCCCCAACGTAGCATGTTGATCAATGCCACCAGCACTGTGCAGTTCTTCTTACAGTTACAGGTCGTCGTCCTCGATGTCTGGAATCATCGGCGCACCCGTGGCATAGCTACCGAACTCTGCCCTACCAAACGACGTAGCATGCTCGTCCATGTTAAACCTCAAAGATGTGCTGCTTCCTTGTGGATATCCGAAAAGTGCTGGGGAACTGTTATGCTGATGCAAGGCACTTGTTCCACTCATCGAGGTCGTAGAATGCTGGAAGATTCCTCCAGTAGTACCGATGATGCTGTTCATCATTGACGTTGCTCCGCTCATCGACATCGAGTTCGAATTCGCCATAGCCGAAGCAAAAAAGTCGCCTTCCTCCAAATGTCGCATACCCGGTTGTGGAACCATATTCGCCGTACTAGAGTTCACAACTACGCTTTTGAACGCATTGAACTCCCGTGGCTGATGGGGAGCCGACATGTAACTATGCATTGTCGCTGAGCGTTGCAGAGTCGCGCTGCATGCTCCTAGTTGTAGTACACTACTAGTCGAAGAAGCTGCTGTCGTCGAGGATGTATCGGATGTACTAGAACTACTAGCTGCTGTACTAGAACTACTAGCCGCGGATACAGACCTGTTGGACGACGCAGACTGAAGATGCTGAAATCCAGCACTACTGCGGCTAGAAAATCCGTCATCTAGCAGAGCAGTCGTGTCGATATCCCCTACATCAGCATCTTCGTCATCGCTACTGCCTGCATTGGCAAAACGAGTAAACACTGATCCGCTAGTTTTACTTCTTGCTAGTAGAGCTTTATTCTTGTTACTCGACGTATTAGTGGCATTTTTGGAAGCATGGGAGGTAGTAGTTGCTAGCGAAGCCGATAAGTGAGGTGCTAGTGTTTTGTTGCGGTTCTGATGGTCGAAATGACTCAGGTTGGAGAAGTTCTTCGGCGACGTACACGCACTGGGTGGCGCACTTGAGGAAGTTGCTACTCCTCCTGCTCCTGGTTGTCCTTGTCCGCCAAGTATTTTTGAAAATGATGATGTAGATCCAAAGAAACTGCTTTCTCCGAGGACATTTGAACTAGTACAACTTGAAGAGGAGACAACTCCATACACCTTATTTGTTCTCCGCAATTGTCGCTTACCTCTCTTGGCGCTAGCCCCTGCACTGGAAGCAGACGTTGATAAAATGGTCCCAAAAGAACCAGCACTCAAAGCAGTTGATGACACAGCACAGGTAGTACTTCTAAAAGACGTAGATGAGCCTGCGTTCTTGTCAACACAGCCCAGACCTAGACCTCCTCTAGAGCTAGCTGACATAGAGATGCTAGTACAGAACAAACCACCACCGGCTTGCAACTTCTCCGCATCTTTTGTACTGGTTCCGTGGATGTCTCGGATGTGGTTCGCCCACGCTAATTTGTTGCCATGTCTCTTTTTACAGAAAGGACACACGAAGCCGTGGCTTTGCTTCATATGCGCATCTAAATCCTTCACTCGGTCGCCGCATAAGACGCAGACATCGCGTTGCTCCTGTTTGCGGACTTGCTTCGCGACCGTCTTGCCCTTGGCACGTGCGAGGACACCCATTTTTTCGACCTTCTTGTAGTCTTACCTCTTTTGATGTGAAAATCTTCTTAAGCGTGTTACACTGGACGCTTTTTACTACTTTCTTATTAAGCTTGCTCCCGGGTTCTGCCCGATTCGCCGCGTCGAATACATTCTTTCTTTCCAAGAACTATAAAAACAAGAACTACATGACAAGAAGAACTTCTAAGATTCTACAGTAGAACAGCATTGATTCTACAGGTACTACTTGTAAATTAAGTACCATCAAGGGCGTTATGTCTGTCTCCGTTCGGTTCTTTCCAGAATAAATTGATACTGTGATCATATTCTCTCTTATCGGTATCATCCCGCCCCTGCAATTGCATGTTTGTGGAATAAAGATGAAGAAGTACAGGGTACCACTAACAGTTTCTTGTTGTAATCAGTAATTAAAATTATGCCTTGATCGCTTCTTACCAGCATGCATAGATAGTGATAGAGGAGCTTTCTTTTGAATGTTCTTCTCAAACAGAATGTATGATGGAGCTTTTCATCTCGGTGCTGGATTCTTTGACCTTTCATGATTTCTTTGAACTTTTCCAGTACTTCTTAGCTGTACAAATCTATACTGTGAGTGTGATCTTGTTGGTTCATCTCTTGAAAAAGAAGGTCCTAAGTAGATGACCTCATGATTAAGCGAAGTCTCGCGTGAAACACTTTGCTTTGTTGTCTTATAGCATGGGACAAAAGCGTCTTCAGGTTCAGCTTCACACTAAGAAAGGAACATGAGGCGCTCAATTCGAGTCGCGTGCAGTGGCCACTATCCTCCATCGCGGCGAGCATGCTCAAAATCCTCTTCCCATTGAATATCCACACTTCACACTCACACGTGTTTACTTCTCCCAAGCAGGACCCTTGCTCATTGTGCAAGTATCTCCTCCGCGATATCTTCAGTGCTGAAGATGACTTGTGGTCTGCTGCCAGTGCCATCAGTTACAATATTACAGTGGCATCTACCACAGAAGCAGAACTACAACTCAATTAGAACTACGACGAGGGCCAACAAAGTCCCCATCTGCAGCTTACACGAGGAGTGAGCCAACAGCCAAATTGTATCAGCTACCAGGCCCTGAACCGTCCACCAGCACCTACTTCCTCCTCTCTACAACCAATATCAGGAACATCCCCCAAGCATCGTTCAAGCGAGCTAGGTGATGACAGGTCATCCAAATCGACGGGGACAACTCCTGTGTCCATTTCGCCTGGGGATCTACAGAAAAAACAGGAGTACTCCTCCGCGTCGTCATCGGGGTCATACTATGAGAGTACAACTGATTCATCGTTGTAGGAGATGGCTTATGTTGAGGATATGCAAAGTACATGATGGATTTTTAGGAGGAAAGGACTCTGCTCAGAGACAGAAGACTAAAGGAAAATAAGCATGTAGACCTTAGAATATCCAGAAACTCAGGGTAATCTCAAAGATGAAGAGTCGTATTCTGACAGGAAAGACTGCGCCAAGTCGGATTTTCGAAAAATATTCATTGTTGATACAACTCTTCAACTTCAGAGAAATTGATGAGAAAAAGCCTTCTGCATCATAACATGCCAACATCTTCGCCGCGTTGCATTTGCTCTAGTCGTTTACATTCTTGACACCGGATAAGAGGCAAGGTCCAGTAGACGTCATCGTCATCGTCGTCTATATCTGATTCTTCGACTTCGTCATAGAACTTTAGTTCATCGTCGTCTTCATCATCCACGTCCATCATTTCCGCGTCCTGCTGGATTACTTCATCAAGTGCGATATCATCAAACATTACATGGCCTTTGCTCAAGAATGAAGATGATGATGAAGCTGAAGAAGTAGATGGCTTTTCAGGATGCTGCTTCTTGATGTCATCGCGGTGGCCGTTAGGGTTCTCTTTCTCTGGCGCCTCTTTGTCCGACATAGTTTTGTGATCAAGACGACCATGAGCACTTGTACTACGAATAGTTTTTGATTTTGACTCTAGTTTCTTAATTGTTTTGGATTTTGATTCTGGTTTTTCTTTCGGCACATTTCTACCAAGATTGCTTTTTCTCTTTGCTCTCGATCTAGGTCGCGGTGTCGGACTCTTCGTATTTTTCATTCTCTTCATGGTAGTCGAAGACGAGGAGCTCGAGAAAGATCGCGTAGCCGATTTCGCGGAAGTCTTCAAAATTAGAATCGAAGAGGCCCTTCCTTGCTTCGGGTAAAGATGAAAGGCCGTGGGCAACAAAATTTTTTTTGAAGAGGCTCAGGCCAAGCGGCTAAATGTAAGTACTTATGTGAGAACGAGAAAATGGCACTGGATACGATAAGGCGGCGCCCCTGATGACGTCCGACACTTACGCAGACAACGTGGCCACAAAGTCACAGCCAGGCGCATACCCGACCCGACAGAAGCAAAACACAACGACCAAGCGACCCTCCCAGCACTTCACCTAACCACACACAGCAACCCAGCGCGGCTGATGCGCTGCGCTTAGTTATAGTTTGCAATTTTGCAGCATGGTTTTTCTCTACAAAATGAGCAATGTGGCGAACTGATAAGATAACGACGAGAGCTGGAAGCTAGAAAGATAGCACTTCCCGAGTTCGCCAGACCACTGACCGAGTTTAGAACTCGAACCAACCATAACACAAGCCACCCCCGCCCCCAAGCTGCGCCCACGACACAGACGCAAAGCAAACCAAGTAAGCCGCGGCACAAAAACCACACGGGTGCAGCCCGTCAGCATCCCGCGGCACCCCTACCCCTTCGCGCATCCGCTGGCCAAGACTTCCTCGCCCCCTTCACCTGCGAACAGGTTGGCGCTCAGCTCAGCTGCGTTCGTTGCCTTCCTTGCTATTTCTTGGGCGGCCCTGCTTTTGTATGCGCCGAGTACGCTTGGCGCATTGTGGAACAGACTCGAAACGCAGTAGCCCAGTCGCGCCATTCTTTCGACCTGCGGCGACCAGCCACGCGCTGGCCTGTCATGGGTAGTTGAAGCATGGACATCGACGAAAGGCGAGTCGCTGCTCGTCAGCTCCAGCTTTTTCGCTCTGTGCGATGGATTTGCCGCAGCTCTTCACGCATGCGACCCGCAGAAGCAACCACAGCCGGCCCATAATCCGCGCAGAGTTTGCGTCCCCAATGTTCGAAGGCCTCGAGCAAAGGCGCCGCCCAGAAGTGGCGACGGCCCCTAGTCGCTTGGCTTTGAGTCACCAAGGTGGACCCCCGCGCGGTAGCGTTTAGCGCTCCCACCGTTTTTTTACCGGCTGGCAACGAAATGCCACGGCGAGGGAGACTCATGAGGCAGCTCCCCACGCACCGGCGCGGGGCGTTTCCTCACCCCGCCAGTACCTTGCGACGCAGCCCATTCAAGCACACAACGCGAAGCGCATGAGCCACCTCAGCGAGCGCGTTGCCCATGGTCAGCCTTTACCCCGATGCGCCCCAGCCCTGCCAACAGCTTCACCCAAGAGAGACACGAAGAACAGCCGCCCCGCCCCACCAGAGGCACCCGCCACATTCTAGCGAAGCAAGAGAGGCACCCCCCTGCGTGGCTGGCGCCCTGGGTGGTGTCACCAAGCCGCCTGGCGCGTAATCTTATTAAGCGCCGGATGTATCTGCCTCGTCTCTAGTAGCCTCTCGCCTTGTTCCTCACGTGGTACTTGACCGAATGGCCCAGCAGAGCATGACGAGCAAGCCCGCCGGCCGAGCCTGTCTCGCGGTCTTGTGCCCGGCGCCTCTGTGGGATTCATCCCGGGCCTCCCTTTTAGCGGCTCCACCAAAAAAGCTCGCGAGCGTCGGCGCTGGAAGTTTTGACAGGTTTGCGGCCCACGGTTGCGCGTTCTCTGTCATTGCCTCGCCCCTCCTCGCGGCGTCCTCGCTTACCATCGTCGTCCAGCTTTTTCCTTTACGGCTACCGCAGACAACGGGCCCACCGAAAGCCTATACTGCTAGCGCTGTGCTGCTGCCGCGAGCAGTCCCCAAAGATACGGGCCGACGAGTCCGAAAGGGTCGGAGCACTCCACGAAACTACCATCCCCGCGCTCTCCGGCGCCGCGGGGCGGTTAGGGCATGCCGTGGCGCAATCGAGGCCCCGCCTTCTGCTTAGCTCCCTTGTCCCCCTCTGCCCTCTCTTCGGCGTCCGCTCCGGCTGACGCGCCCGCGCCGCCTCGTTGTTTGCTTCGATAGCCTCTTCATCTTCCAAGCCCCCCCTTTTTTGTTCCGCTCTCTCTCTGGGCTTTCGACTTCGAGTCCCGACTATGGAAAGTAAGCTCGCACATAACTTATTTGGCGCAGCGGCTTGGACTTTTTTCATGGCCTGCCTTTCATCGGATTGCGCAAGCCGCTCCGCAAGCGCACTACCCTCAAATACCGTCTGCAGCTGCTGCCGCAACTTCGCCTTTCCTTTATTCTCGATCGCACGCGACGACACATCACCACCGCCTTCATTTGGTATGCCTATTTTTAGTGTTCGCGAGGAGTCTCTACTTCTGCTGGAACTGGACGAGGACGCACTCGATGTCGATCCACCAACGCTAAGAAGCTGCGGACCCTTAAATGTGGCTGTAGATGGTGTGGACGGAGCCACTACTGACATCTTCATTTGTAGATTATGATTCTTTTTTGATGAAGAAACCGGTGCCATACTGCCTTTATTCACGACCCCTGCTCTGCGCTTAATTTCACGCGTACGAGAGCCTGACGAAGAGGTTGAGGAGCAGTGTAGCCCCTTCATAGGCGCAGTGGAGAGAAAACGTTCACTAGTATTCGGCATCTTCTTTGGTAATGCTACGACTAGTAGGTCATGTACTTGTGGATGCGGTAATCTTCAGTCGATATACTCACATAGACGCCTTTCACTACAAGTAGTACTAGCTGGGGAAGCCGTTACTCGTCAATCAACTTACCTCAGAACGAAAGCGATCCTCGTGCTGTTGCTTGAACCAGAACCGTCCAAAGTAAGATGATCTATCAGAATTATAGTATGAACATAAAAAGAGTCTACGACGCTTTTGTTTTCTTTCTCCATAACAATAAGAACGCCTTCCACATCTCGTTCCTATTAGAACTTGATATTGCTTCGAATACTTTATCACGCCTCAATCGTCTTTCTCCTTGTTTCCGCTGTTGACTTATTCTTTTGAGGTCGTTACCGATACAACACAGCTAGAAAACGCTCTTGGTGAAGAAAAGATGGACTGAACCTACTTGCGGAATATTTATGAGTCAGCACGAAGACTCCTGTGTGTGTGTGTGTCACCATTCCTTTTCCCTCAGAAAAAACTCTTTCAATTGTGGTCAAATCAGACAAAACGAACACGACGGACTAGCAGAGAGGTTCCCTGTTCTTCGCTGTAGCGTAGCAGGTCTAGGCCTAGTACGTACCATCTTCAGTATAGTCTGATTCTGAGTCTTTGCTTCATTCTTATGTTTATCATTTAACCTGCACTCCGTCTCCAAACAGCGCGTTCATCTACAAGTATTCATGTTTCTTCAATGTGCTGTTTCTCAGCTTCCTTTCGTACGAGTCGTCGTAGCTTATTCGCTGTTTTCTGGAGTTCGCGGCAGCGTTGCTCAACTTCTGGAAATGGTCCACTTTGGAGTGTTAGATAGAGTGGACAGAAGATTGATTGATACGATCAATATCAATTACGGCTAAGTCGTGGCTCACTGAGCGATGCATTGATGAAATAGAAATAGTCGTGCAGTTCATCTTTGCTACCCGGACGCACTACGCAAAAGTCTAAGCAGCTGAAGGTGTCTCTTCGATAAAGATGGATAAGTAGCAGTTTAAACCTCTCAACGTCATAATTGCAATCCCGCAATCGCTTCCCGCGCATGCTTCGCTGCTTCGGTTTGGCGCTTGCCACGAAAAATTCCATCTCCAATCGCTGGCAGAGCCTCTGTAATCTTTTCGAGCTGCTCATCCAGTGCGTCCTGAGCACGATCCGCCCAGACTCTACTTGGTCCCCCATGACGGATGAGCAGGTCGCGATAAGGCAAGCCGGGTTCGAATAGCTGCTCTACTTTGTTCGTAATTTGGTCCGCAGATTGATCTTTATTGGCATCAGCTGCGCCTGTTTGATCTTTATTGGCATCAGTTGTAGATGTATCTTCGTCCCCTTTTTCATCTGATGCAGCAAAGGATGAACGCCTTGCCGGTAGTTGACCTTCTACAATTTGATCGACGAAGAACGATAGCACTTTATTTGTCCACGATCGTCCATGCTCCTGCAAGTGCAACATCTTCCCTGTTGAGGGGGCACCAACTTGGTCCAGAGCATACGTTGATGAGTGCATTAGCAGTACCATGTCAACAAATGCTCATCTGCCCTCCTACCTTTGATGAGTGCGTTAGCAGTACCATGCCAACAAATTCTCAGTCGTTATTTTTTGTATTTGTTTACTAGATCAGCATTTAGATTAATAAGCGATTTTTAAGTACTTACATCAAAGACGAGGTTGTTCCTTAGATTTGTTGGAGGTAAGAGGCAAAGGGCAGGCTTCGGGTTCAGAAAGACTGACGGACCGAAGGAAAAGGGGAGATGACAAGCACGACTCGCTGAGACACCGATCATAACCTTGTATACCTCGTCCCGCTCAAACACCGATGAGAATTGGACTACAGGTCTGGCAGCAGGGAAAGAACTGAAAAACATCCTGAGCTTCACTATCGGCCTCTATCGCGCCAGGTCAATCAAATGGAAGACCCGCCTATGCAGCCGCCTGCTCATCTGGTCGCAATATAGCGCGATAGAGTCATCCAGCAGTCGGTGTCCTCTGTGCAGGACCAGGACAATTCCTGTAAGTCGTGTATTACGAAAAAATTTGTCCTACGAGGAGATCACCATCATACCTAAGACATTCATCTTTCTAGGAACTTACTACTCAAGAGAGATAGATTGTTTAAGTACACGATTTCTAATATGACAATGGTCACTGTATGACGCACACGCAGATGCTTATTCGCTTACATTCATTCTTTATCAACGTGATGATATCACTATGCTAATTTCAAAAACTACGTGTTTGTAGTGAGTGTAGTTACAACACTAAACCAAGGCAAGTACTATACAGTTGTAGACAGTCGTTGATGGACGCAAATCATGCTAGTTTCTAGTCTATACAAATTGAAACTTCTGCATTTGCTCGAAGCCTTGGAAGATATTCTCGAAGATACAACTGTGTAGTTGTAATGCTTTTGTTCCTTGTGGACGATTGAGTGTATAACTTTTGCATGGCAATTTTTTGCTTTATTCTTCGTGAAGACATGTTAACGATGATGCATGATAGATTATGACTTTATGTTAGCTGCTAAATTTAAGTAGCAAGAACTTCCACGTGGAAAACGGTGTTATTATTGATAATATCTGGTCCGGCTAATGACCACTTGATGATGGATAAAGACTTTTTCAACATCTCATATGTCGCGAAGAATTCTAGTAGCTACTTAAATTTTCCGAAACTTTTCCGAATCCTAGCTCGGACGTTATCCCGGTCATCCGCACCGCTGTCGATAGCAAAAGTCACCCCTTCGCCTTCTGGGCTTGGTCCGGGTGCCTCTATTCTTAGATGCGTACGGCGGGGTTATCATGCTATCTATGTCTATTCCTATGCGACATCATGATTCATTCTACTGGAATATGATGCAACTTAAAGTTCTTGAACTCCTTCCTTTTTTCTACTTACATCGATTGATACTGAGGCCTTCCATTCTTCTACTAGTTGTACATCGATCATGTTCATGAATCAGAAATCAAGTCGTAATGGAGCAATTGTTTTATTTATCTGTGCGCTATCGTCGCCTCCCCCGTCTTGCTCTAGTGGTTTTCCATCGGCTTTTCCACTCGAAGCTGCTACCTCAGTCCATGCGTCATTGCCTTGGTTAGCTCCTGACTGCATCATGCCTGAAGACAAAATCTTAGAGCCGATAGATTTCTCGAAGTAGAATTTGTTTCGTCACTACACTCCTCAATCTCAACGTAGAAACAACGCTCATCATGCTTGTACATCTTATGTAGCGCGGCCTACGTACGCAAATAAAAATTATATCTATGAGGCATTCATCATCGTTAATCATATTCATATCTATCTTCACCATCAAAACTTCAAGCATAATCATGGAACTGAGTATTTTCTCCTGATTGTGCTTTTGCTCGAGGTATCGGTGTATACGGTCCGACCGATGGCCCTCTGAGACTGTAAACGGGCTCAAACTCTTTGTCGCGTTCTCGTCGTCTCCCGCCTCTTCTTCGTGAACGTGAAGCACTCCACGATGCGTGACGACTTTCGGTTTTTTGTCGAGCCTGGTTTTGTGGAGATCTCAAAGAAGGAGCTTGCATGAAACACTCAGTGCTCCTGTTCTTGCGATGAACAAAAACCTTCTAACCTTTGGAACAAACTAAGTAGTACTATTTTTGAACGGAAATCAAACAAAATAAGTAGACTTTCATCTTCATCAAAACGAGTCTACGTATTTTTGTACTACAATGTAGTAATTAAATCGTACTGCATCCACGATCTTGGATCGTCATTTGCGGCTGCGGCGTCAGGTGATAAACTACGAGGCTGAGCGACGAAGACACCAGATGATGGGTCGCTTTGGTCCGCGGTCTGTCGGTCTTTGGGCAACATCCAACCTGAATCTACCTTGGCAGAAGCAGGGAGAGGATTAGGTTAGAGAGTTTTCAAAAAAAAAGGATCCACTGTTGAGTTAATGTTCAACTCAGTCTGTCAAAGTCAAAAATGTCTGTTGCTGTGCTATCAATTTTTCCTCCAGTAGACGCAGATATGACTTCTCATTATGTGACAAGACCATAAGCCCAAGCCGGAGGCAGGAATCCCCACTCTTGAGATCGCATTTGGGGTGGATCGGGTGCCCGCCGCATGGGATATGCGTAATGCCGTTCTTCATTAGAGCTGCCCAAGGAGAAAACTGAACCAAACTTAAACAAAAGCGATCAGCCGTGTTGACGACGAAGTACGACTAACTATGTTTTTATTTCTGGATTGAATTACACTATTGCTATCCCGCCTTTCTGATCGCTAGTAGCCTGTGGGAAAGGTACAAACCGAGAAAGGATTAACGTCAAGAAGTATGAGTCTACTTCTTCCTCATAACTTTCGCCGTCTGTCGAGCGTATGGATTATCCTTTGCTGGAAGGTAACTCTGCATGTAATGGTCACCAAACTGGGGTTGCAGAGGTCCACCGTCCCTAGGAAGAGGCTGCCCTTTCGGTTCAGGTGATAAACCTTTACCTTGTGGAGAACGAAGCTGCACTCCGGAGATTAGAAAACGAAAAGTAGGTGGAAAGAAGAATGCCAACCAGGGATGAAGAAGCTGTGCTCGTATTTTCTTGAACAGTTCTTCACAGTGATTTACTTAACACATGTTCTCGTCTGTCCCAGTAATGCTCTTGCCGGATACTACCTATTTCACCGACCCAGAAAACTTTTACCTCGTCCACAGACATAGACAAGAAAGAAAAATATAAAGGACGAACTGCATGTTTGGTAGGACGAGTAGTAGTACGTAGTAATATACGTAAGGAGGGGAGGAGGAGAAAGTGATTCCACTTGTATGGCCCGCCATAAAAAGCCTCCTCCTTTGGATGTGCCGGTCGGTTGTGGAGCACCGAATCCGCGACCCTCTGTCGGTTTTAACGTCGGAGAATTGAAGGAGCTGCCGCTCGCGACCGATGGTGGAGTACCGAATCCGGGACCGCCTGTCTGCTTTAGCTTAGAGCTCAAGACGCTTCATTTCTGTTGCTCCCCTTCATTTCTTCTTCAGTCAGAATCTTCGTCTTCCCTCCAAGATGGAAACCAAACAGAAGAGAATCAATAAAGGATGAAATACCTTCCCATTTCCCAAGAGGGAAACCAAATAGAAGAGAATCAATGAAGGGTGAAGTAACAGAATAGTCCCATCAATATGGAAGCCAAACAGAAAAATGTGAGGATTGTTGAGAACATTACTCTACTAATCCACAAGTGCTGCTGCCACCGGGAGGGCCATATTCTGAAAAGTAATCAAGAAAACTATATAAAGGAGAGGTAGTAAACAATTAAACAATAGGAAACTCAAGGGCAACCACCAGCCCACCATCAAGGGAAACCAAACAGAAGAAAATAGCAGTTTGCTCTATTGGAGGTAACTTTGATGTTAACAATAACTCAAAACAAAGCTTGTAGTAGAGAGGTGAAATAATCAATGAAGGGTGTATCAAAGAGCCTTAATTTTTAACGGATTCTTTCCAAAGGGGTTGTAGCCTTGTGCTTGCTTACCAAAACCCGGAAGTGGCTTTTGTGGCGTTTGAGCTAGCTGTACACCAAAGCCAGGAGGTGCAGGATTAGCGCAGGAAAAATTTCACCGGTCACTTCTCCTGTCTATGACTAGTAGAGTGAGGTGCTGTGTCGTATCTTCTGAGAGAGGTCGTCCTCATCTGATCTTCATCCTATGGAATCTAGTATCATGATGAGAGGTAGTTACAGTGTCCTTTCATCCCTAGATGAAGCTCTACGTGGTTCACAGCATGTAGTTCGCTGTCTCTGTTTAGTACTTCTTCTTGGACATCATCATCAACGAATCATCTGGTAGCTAGATCTTAGGCAGAAAAACAACTTTTTTCAGTAGACATCACCAACAAATATAGGTGACACAACATTCATCTACACTATAATGTAGAAGTATAGCTATAAATAGGAGTCGTAATATAATCTGCCTTTAGTACTGGGGCCGTTGCTCTACTTGATTGGGCACGCTCTCCCTCGGCCACGGTTGTGCGCATCGACTTTCGAGTCGATTCCCTTTTCATCGCAGCTAAGTCGTTCTTTGTTACTCGGTCTTCGTCGTCAAGAGGCGATGCTGAAACCTTTCCATTCTTGCCAACCTGATCGATACACGGGAGATTGAGACTTAGACCACTTGGGAGACTTAGTAGACTAGTTGAACTAGTAGTACCTAGTGTCGCTGTGGTCTTAGTCTACCTCTAAAGTACCAGCATGCTCAACTTGAGGCAACAGTCGATGACACCTGAGTCTACCTCTAAGATAAACAAGTCCTGAAGTACTTCTTGCTTGCAACAAGTTGTTAGGCGGCCTAGCAGGCAAGAACAGAGAATTATAGATACCTCTACTCCGTCAATAGGCGCAAGATTTATCGTCGTATTCCCTTGAGGCGAAGGTCGTGATGGCGCTTCTCCACCAAATGCCGGAGCCGGACCTTTGGCAACGGCGTCTATAACTCCTTGTGCTTTACCAGGAGTTTCTCCTGGTGCTTTACCAGGAGTTTCTCCTGCTGCCCCAGGTGATCCAAGTCCTCCTCGCGGTGATCCTAGTCCGCCTCCTCCTCCACCAGGACCTCTACCAGGACCACTACCAGCTGCACCTCCGAGTGCTCCTTGACCACCTTTCGCACCACCGCCTTGGCCTTTGTCATTGATATTAGAAGTAGTGACTGATTCATTTTTGAAGGACTTCGAAGATGATTCATTTCTTTTTCAGTAGACATCACCAACAAATATAGCAGGTGACACAACATTCATTTACACTATAATGTAGAATCACATGAAGTCCGATCTAATTCCTGGTTGCATCAACTAGACACGAAGAGCAACTACAGGAATACACCTCTACAACTACTTCCATGATCGACCAACAAGCAGAGGACATGATCAGCAGCAGGTTGCTTCTAAGACGAGTACGAGTCAGAATCTTCATTCATAGTACTGTTTTTTATATTAGGTCGTGGGAGGAGGTGTTCTTGTATGGATGATCACGATGAATTCTATAGTTCAAAAATGTGAATGTTGTCTAACAACTACAAGATAGAAGAGACTCTATTGTAAATCTAACAACAAAGATCTTGAAGAGCTTAAGAGCTAACCCTACACTAGGACATAGGTAAATCTAAACGCGTAACTTTTCCTCCTCCTTTTCCAAATCCAGGCTCATCTTTAGCGGCCTCGTCCCCTTTACCTTTACCAGCAGCTTTCATAGCAGCTTCCGCTTCTTTCCTTTCTCGATTTCCAAGATAGTCGTACGAAGAGATCCACAAAGAAAAGTACATACGTAGCATCGCCCGTTGACAATGCTGAAAGTTGTGGGGGTGAGAGTGAAGAGAGTGAGTGAGGATGAGAAACATGATCATAGCTGAGGAGTTGACCACAATGCTGAAAGAAGTTGTTGTACCGATAATCGTGGGGAAGAGAAACATGATTATAGCGCGGAGCTGTCGACAATGCTGAAAGAAGTTGTTATAGTTATACCGAGAATTGTGGGAAAGAGAGACAACATGATCACGACTCAGACATCAGAGGAACAGAAAAAAGATGTGAGAAGTAGTTGTACTATGCCTCAGGACAGGAAAGCACGAGATCAAAAGAAAACGCGACTGAAAGGATAGCGATAGGACAAGTACAACTATAAGTTGTTAGGGAAACTGAACCACTAGCTGAAATTATATACCTTTTCCTCTTTCCAAACCAGTGGGCGAACGTAAAAGAGACGTCTTATGAAGGTTTCGTGCTTCCAAGCACAAAAAGCTCGCATCTTATAGGCGTCATGTAGCATTCGGAAGCACCGCAAGCCTGCATCTATGGCGATGATTAGAAAGGAGAAGAGGTAAAAGAGAAACAGCACATTACTAGAGGATCTTAGAAGATGGAGTACTAGATGAAGACTATTAATACAAAGGACGCAATGTGAATGGAGTTCTTTAAGTTCATGCGTATACGTGTGTGTGTGTTTTGGTCATGATGATTATGTCTATGAGGAAAAGAAGGTGATCCTTAAATATAATTCAAGCTATGCATTTTTTTGAATTTTCACATAAGTTGAATTGCGTTTCCGCGCGAAACGACACCGCAGGTTCAAACAGCTTTTTGTCTACCACTATTTGCAAACCGCTTTCGTACAAGTCCGCTCTGTTGTGGAAGAAACTTCTTTTTAGCAACGTACGCGAAGCCCAGTCGGTACTGGTTAAATCTTGTTTAGAGCTTGTTTATTTTACAACAGTATTTAAAAATTCACCTAGATGTAGATCCATCTCATCTCTTTTATTGTAAGGTCATGCTCATGATCTCGGTGTAGTTGCCCATTGATTTCTCAGAAGGATAGGAAACAGATGAAAGGGATGAGGAGGATCTCCTGTGAAGATGAATTACAATTACGTTCCTCAGCCTTAACTAGCGTGGTTCCACCCTCGGCACCACGAAACGCACCTGCCATATGCTCTACGACATGTGCGCCGTCACCTTCGCCTCCTCCAACTTGTTGCATTGCGACACGTGTAGCCCCTTTTCGCCGCACTTGATCGTTGTGGTCCACCTGGCGTTAGAAGGGCTTATTTTCGATAGATGATAGAGCCTCATTTTCTATGATGTCCTCTTGGGATTGGATAGGAGTTGGCTCACTTATGAGGGGGTGAGCGTTCGAGGCCATTGAAGTGCCATAATAGACTGAACTTTTCTAGACTGAAACATGCTCACACCGCATGTGAGGACCGACTTATCTACCGCCAAAAACCTGCGATATTCAACGTGCTTACGTCATTCGGGAGAAGGTGTCAAAGATCTACCCTAGCTACCATTCTAATTCGAGGCCCAGCTTTTCGTTCTAATTCTACTAGTACCTTCTGACTACTGATTTTCAATATGTTTTTAAGTAATTCATTGGAAGAAGTTACACATGTGCAGGTAAAGGTAAGTACCTATTTTTGAGTGATTTTCATATTCTAGAAAAATAGTCCCTTCTTTAGAAGGAAAAATAACAACAAGTAGATGAGAGACACAGAGAAATGATCCATAAATCCAAGCCAATTTTCTTTGGGCTGCTTCCCCTGATAGACTGCTAACCGGAGCCATCTGAAAACCGCGTCCCCTACTGGGTGACATGTTTGGGGCCGCTAGTAGTATGAAGAATAAATGGGGGGCACAGAAAGCAAACAATATCATGCTTCTCTCCCGAAATCACTGGATGGTCAATACACGACGTAAAAGAAGAAGGAGGACCACAGTTGCTACAGCAACACTCACGCAGAAAAAGCACAATTTGATCATTTCAAGTAGTATTCGGATTATTCAAAGAATGAAGTACTCCCAGGATCATATCCTTGAAAATTTAATGACATGCAGCATCCTGTAGCTGTAGTATCAAAGTCAACCACTTCAACATAACATCCCCGTTTCCGGTCATCGGTAGAGAGTCTCCGGGTAGAACTTTTGTTTCGTCATCGAGGACTGCGTTCTGCGCGAACGGTCCGTGCGTCATGTCGCGAAACTGCTGTCTCGCCAATCCCAGAGCCCACTCTTGCCTTTCTTTTGGTTCGAACACTATGCCGCGAGGATCAATCTAGTAGAGAGAATGTTGTGAAGTGATAAGTACAGAGGCCACATGAGTAGAGTTCGTTGTGTTGTTTGAGATGTAGATGCTGGAGGATGAGTTTGAACGGGCAGTAGGCTTAGGAAGGAGGTGTTCATCAGATGATGCGGGGAGCATCCATTGTCGTGAGAGCAAGACGAGGGAGAGAAAATTCATTCTTGCGAGTACGTAGAGGGGTTTTTCAATGCCATGCAAAGAAGACGCAAACGGAGGAAAAAACTTAGAACTCGGAGTCCTCCTGAAGAGTACTAGTCCTGCTCCTGAAGAGTACTAGTTTTATTATTTGTGAAGATCATACTACAGTGTATCATATTAAATACAAAAGCAAAACTGTAATTAAGAAGTACGTTCTGTGACGTCCTCATTTTCACACCCTGTGGTGAGGTTCGCTGAACAGGACGAGTTGTCTTGACATTTCCGGCAAAGGTCGGACTAAGCACAATCGCGCCACCCTCTGGTCCTCTTCTTAGCGCTAGTTTATCACTATGTCGAGCTTGAGTGCGTTGCCCTTTTCCTCCTTTATTTCAATGCCCTTTATTGATCCCTCTAATAAATAATGTGTGAAGGACTAGATTTTTGCGATCAATTAAGGGAAAGGAGTAGCCTGGCCAGTAGAATGATAGCCAAGAGGACCAGACTTTCCCTTTAATATATAAAGCAACCAAGGGGGTTTCCAACCAGGCAGCATAGTCCACGTGGGTGGAAACCCCCTGGGTTGCTTTATATATTAGAATAGTTTACCGAACGGGTGTAGGATGGACTTGGATGGATCGGATGGACTTCCCACCATTTCAAGTAGGATCGGAAGAGTCAGGGGTTTCCACCCTCCAGGCAGCATACACGGGAATAGTGAACAAGCCTACAAGGGGGTTTCCACTCAGGCAGCATGTGAAACCAAGGCAACCCAAAGCAACCAAGGGGGTTTCCACCCAGGCAGCACGTGAAACCAAGGCAACCCAAAGCAACCAAGGGGTTTCCACGTGGGATAATGAAAAACTAGCCATAATCTTCGAGACAGTCTACTCGGTCTCGGTGGCGGGCTTGGAGGCGGACTCGGAGACACCGGCAGTTGCGCCACCTTCTTCTGCGCGGCACCTCCATACTTCTCGAGCAAAGCAGATACAGATGGCGAATTGTTCATCTTGTTGATTGATTTTTACAACATCAATATAGGAGCGATGTTGATGTAGAAGTAGTTGATGTCTAGATAGTACAACTACTAGTCGTTATCTGCGTGCTGTCACATCTTCTAGTAGAGCATACTGAATAAATGGAAGTCGCTGAATTCTTCAAGGAGCAGCCAGGAAAGACAGTTTGCAATTAAGGTAATTTAGTCTAAAGTTGATCGATCTGCCTAGGTTAGATTAGATTAGGTTAGGAAAATGGATGGAGAAGGTGCTGGAACATGAACTTGTTACTGATTGTTACTGAAGGTTAGGTTAGCTGAGGTTAGGTGAGGTTAGATGTTGAAGCAGAGTGGAAATGCAATCATTATGATGATTCAAAGACTTCATTAACTACTGTGATGAGGGACAAGGAGTAGGTAGTGTATGGGCATGACGCGGCGTGGAAATTTATTTATGGCATTCACAGGTGGAGAGGTTTTTCATCATCAGAGGACCGCAAATATCCTAGTCCTACCGATTTTTGTCATAGACACTGACGTGTCCTGCGTAGAAGGGCGTTAACTCACATAGCGATCACCACGACAGATCCGGATGCATGCGTCTTTGATCATCAACCGAATCGAGCCCTATCCTTGGCACAACCGTATCAAATCACCGATGATGCTCAACAACACGGGCAACTAATCGACATCATTACAACAGCCACATACAAGATCAACGCCGCTATTTCTTGCGACCGGTTTACGATCACCATGAGGGAGTAGTTTCACTTTCTTCCAAGTTCAAGTAGTAGTTTCACTTTATTTTAGTCTTATCTTGATGATAGAAACATTCTACTACTACTAGACTACCTCACATTTTGTCGCTTGTTTTTCTTTTGGTGCGTCGGTCTGTCTCCGACGACGAGATAGAAGGAGTATTATGCTCCGTTTTTCCATCCTACCTCAGGCATTATAAATCAATGTCGGATCATGCTATCATCTCGATCAAGGTTAAGGTACATTGTTCGTCAAACTAGAAGATACATATCAACAACAAGTCGTGGGAGTCTGTCTTCTCACTATAACCATTGAAATATTGTCTCTCGATGGATTTTGATGCTTTTGTGTGTTGACCAATAATTTAACCGTAAATCTTCTTGCAAAATATTGATCTTTCGTTAAAGAAATGTATGCTGATAGGCATTTTGTTCATGATAGATTTAGATCATAGAGCATCTTCTCCCCATGTTGTTGAGCGCAAAACCTATCTGTATGTAATATTATGCACTTCTATGCACACTTCTATGCAAGATATAACAAAGAATCTTGCCAACCACTCAAAATCAACCGAAGATATAAGAAAGAAAATATTAACAAGGTTAAATCCCAAACTGGGAGCGTCGAACCATGTTTTTTGATGGTTCTGACGCAGAAATGATAGATTCCGCCGCACAAGGGATTTGAGAAAAAAACATCAGGTACAATCATCATGATCTTGCAACTTCCTCGACTTCGACTAGTACACTTTATTTGATATTCTGGTTTTTCAAGCCTAAAAATAGCTACGCACTTGAACAACTCGATAATGGACAATAGTTCATCATAATGTTCAAGAAAAGAGTTCGCGACAACATAAGTAGATATAGCTTATTTTCGATACAACTATCAAAGTCTAAAATTCATTCGCAATTGTTCTTTTTGTGAAGACAATCAGGATAAGCTAACAGCAGCCAGTCTTTCTTAGTCAGGATAGACATAGAAGATTCTCCTGACTCACTTAAAGCATACTAGTGAGCACTCGATTGAACCTCCTCTCCTCGCATGAACTAGACAACTCTACTTGTTCGTCCTCTCCTAGTAGAAGTAGGTCGAACTTTACTAGACTCTTTTGCTACTAGTAAGCGCTCTAATAAAAATAAGATTAAGAATAACATCATAGGAGACTTACTTAGCGGGAGGTGGCAGTGCAATCCCAGCCTTGACGTCCGCGATTTCCTTGACGCCTAACTCCTGGCCGAACGTGGTATAGGAACGAACGACATTCCAGGTTCCAGTCTGATAATCCTCATCGCTGGTCTTGGTCATAATCGAGTAGAAAACAGTCGCGGTCTCTTCGGGGGTATGGTAGTCGGACGCTTCCCAACGCTTGGAGACCTATGCGTGATGTTGTTGGCCGGTTGGAGATGTTGGAAGCGTGTTGCAACGAGTAGTGGGGAATGGATGCTGTTGGAAGGAAGTTGAAAAAAGTGGGAACGATCATGTAGTCAGTACTAAGTTATACTGTTTTGAGCAGATGACTTTGACTACCTAACTCAACAGTGTACTGAGTACTAGTAAGCAGTAGGAACGAAAATTCAAAGTTCTTTGAATCTTAATCTTTCACTTGTGTTAAAAGTACCATAGCAGCCATCGGATGTGCCTTGTCATACTTGGTGGCGAATTCGTCGGTGAGCAGACTCTTGGTCATTCCTGGATGTCCATATCCAAACAAAGCCCAATCCTTCATATCAGCCTTCATGCCTTCATGGATCCACTTGTTGGCAGCCTTCGCCGCGCCAAATCCAGCCCATCCGGGCACAACCATGTAAGTGCCATCAGGCTTGGGTCCATCGGAAAACGGGGCTTTGTGTTATTTGTGGTGAATTATGGTGATTCATTGAGTGTTCGTTGATAAAAACAGAAAAATGTAGTTTCTTCTACTTGTTTCAAAATTTCTTTAACGTGGCAGAGGTACTAGACTGTTGGACGAGGTTTCGTGTGATATTACGAGAGTTGAAATTATATTGAGTTCTTGCGGGCGGTAGCAAAAGTCTATTTTTGCAGCAAATCCAAAATCATCGAGGGATGAAAAACTACAATTTCAAAAAGTACCACCCAAATTGAAGACACGAGCCTTCGGTTCCGCACTCTTCAGATTTTCTCCGATGGCTTGGCAGACAAAGAGCTTTCCATAAACATCCGTGTTCATCATATCTTCCTGTTTTCAGAGAGAGAGTTTTTGATTGTGGAGTGAGCAGTAATTTTCGTATCTATAAATTCGTGTGAATTCTTCAAAGAGAACAACGTGTACGCGTCAAGACGGAAGTTCTGTACCATGTCCTCACGCGAGATGCTCGTAAGATTCGTTCCCATGCCTGCTGTGTTCTTGGGGCAAGCAGCGGCAAGCATCACAAAATGAATCGGGGTGTTGCCTGCGGCGGCAGCGATCGTCTTAGGTCCTTCCTTCGTTCCAATGTCAGCAGTCACTTTCACCAGATTCGCATGATCGGCCAGCTTGTCCAAGGAAGACTGCTCACGGTCCACGGCGATCACTTTTTCCGCACGAGGGTTAGAGAAAAGGAAATAACTAACTAGTTGTAATCAACATTACTAGATTAGAAGATTGGGCTCCTGCCTCAGCCCTGCGCCTCAGGCGCCGGATCAGCAGAAATTTCCTTTTGCCTCTCTCGTGAGCCTGCTGGCCGGCGCTAGAACAACTAGTAGTACACAATGAATCTTGTATGCTTTAGTAGTGAAGCCAACCGCTGTATTGTGGTTAGGCCAACCGCTGTATTGTGGTTAGAAACAAGGTCTCTACTGCTTCCTACTGAACGGCGTGAAGAATGGGATTGTCCCACCTTCGTTTAAGAATATGAACTACATCCTCCACAATTCATAACCTTCTCCAGGCACAGCATGGCTAACGCACCACCGATACCGTAGACACCAGTGATGAGGACATTTTTGCCCTTCATATCGGGCAACGCCTCAATCTTCCCGGCATCAAGGCTGTTGCCGTTGCTCAAGGTGCTTCCAAAAGTCGACATCTTGTTGGCTGTTTTCTTGGTGCTGGTGCTAGATTAAAAATATAATGTCTGTAGTTCTACTTCTAGACTTGGTCTACTACCTTGAAACTAAGTTGCAGCTCGTTTCTAGAAGATGCTGTAGATGCTGGATAAATTTTCCTACTAAGTAGAGTTTTGATTAAGAAGAATCATGAATCTTTGAAGACTTGAACTGAGGATCAGGATAGACGAAAATCTTAAATACTTTTCTTATTATTTTCTGCGATGAGGATGAAGCTGTCCCTGTGTTAATTATTAAACTGTTCTCGTAATTAGGAACAGCTGCTCCTTAGTATTTTTTGAAGACTTATCTGCTGGCTGAAGAATCTACTGTATTACCCTTTAGTAATTACTGTACCAAGGTGTAAAAGTATAATTATGAGGGGTTCTCTTTGTTGATGAGTGCTTTCCCTTTTGTCCCTGGTAGGGTCATTGTGAGCGAATTTGCAGAAGTGATCATCTACTCAATCTAAAAGACAGCACCAAGAGAAGCTGACTCGAGTGACGAAGGAAGTCACTACCATCTTCATGTTAAAAATCAACAAAGGATGGCGGATGTGTGACTATGTATAACTACAAATCATACAAGAGGAGCGGTCACAATACACAACATTGCACGTCTCAGACTCGTTGTTCTCACCTAAGTAAAATTCTGGCTTGCTTTCTCTCTCTCTCTGACATTCTTGATCCTCGTCGAGGTCGTTCATTGCTGACTTTTGGTTTACTAGGGTTAGGGTTTAGAAGGTCAATGTCGAGAAAAGCACTCGTCTGTGTGAGCTCCACCTAGTCTACTTCGCGTTCCTGGTGCTTTACTAGAAGATTGAAGTCTCTCGTTAATAGAAGACATTCTTCATGATCAGTTGCTTGTGTCAACATCCAGTAGATGTACAAGAGTTCTGTTTGGTAAAAGGGCTGAAGGGGCGAGAACTTGAAGTAGATTCTTGGGCGATAAGCGCAAATTAGTGCGATACTAGTGACTATAAAATGGGAATATACACAGTGCAACAGTAACTTTCAACTCACGTGTTTTATTCAGCTCAATGATGGACCTCTTCCAGAGAGGACGGTTAGGGCGCAAATCAGGAAGGATTCAATTTCAAATTCAGTTGCATCGTCTTATCCAAGAAGTATAGCAAGTTCGGAAGCTACCCGCATGTATCCCTTTTCCCTTGCTAAGTCGATGAGATTAATGGGCGCTATCAAAGCATCAGTAGGTGGAATTCTCTTTTCCTCGTCGCCGCCCTTGAAGAGTATAACGGGCTTGCCCAAGGAGATCGTCTCCCGAGAAGTAGTGGCATGATTGGCAAGCCTTAAATAAAAGCGCAACTCGGCCACTGCTCGCTCTTGTTCTTTCATCCTTTCTAGTAAACGAACGCAGACCTCTTCCGTTCGCCAGCGAAGCGCTCTCTCCAGGTATTCGTCCGCCGGCACGGAAGGGGGGCCCAGAGGATCCTTGCTCCACGGTTGTTCATCGGCCGCTGCCCGATCTTCCCAATTGCATCATTAGAGTCATGTCTATCACTTTGCCAAAGGCGTTCCACGCCCACGGGCCCATGATAGGAGCTCGTGGATGACGACTTGTTTGAGATAATTGTGGATAATCAAGCCTATTATTTTGACGAGTCAGATATAGGAAGGTCCTGGACCAACATAAGGACTAAGAACATCCAGATCCACGTATCCATCGATGGAAAAGATTATGCATAGAAGAATGTATAATGGTACCAAAAACTTCATCTACAGATGAAAAGAACAAATACTTGTATCTAATTTAGATACAACTTCTGCTTCTATCTTCCGTAATACTCCTTGCGAGCCTCGTGAGCTTGTCCGACATCCTCGATGCCACGAGCGAGTGCCTCCTCGTCATACAGTTTCAAGCCTGGGAAGCGATTCAGAATAATAAGACACATCTCGGTCGACAAATTGGTGCCAGACTCTAGCAGTTGCAGAAAACGGTTCATCACCGGCGAGCGCCCGTGTGCCTGTCGTGCTCTCACCTTTATTTTGGTATTATGTGGTTCATCAAATCGCGGCACCTCGTAATGTATTCGGACTCCGCACATGGCTAAACTAAACCTTCTCTTCTTCCATTCATCCACGAGCATCGGCTGGAGGGAAAATACTTCCGCATAGGGAAAATGGCCAAATTTTCCATCAATCGAATCTAAGGCGAATTTGACACGCAACTTACTATCGGCTTCTCTACTATTGTCTCTGACGAGGGGGGCGATGAGCGAGAGCGCATGACCTTCTTCCCCTGGACACCCGTCACCACAAAGCTTAAGCACATCAAACTGCGGATGCGAAGTGAACGCGGAGGCCAGCTGCGAGCGCTCGCGCTCAGAACGGCACGGCCGTTCTACCTGGTCGCCGCGATTCTTTTCGAGAATGTCGTGTACAAGAAGGTCAAAATTCTGCAAAAGAGATTCCATTCGGAGACCTGGGAAACCGCAGCAAGGATGAGGATCTTCTGCTTGTTCATGATTTGCAGCAGCGGCTTCTACACCCTCCTCTGCATCTTCAACATCTCCGCGACCGGCTGAAAGAATTTGAAGAAGGAAATCCGTTGGCGCCCAGACAAAGATGACGTCTCTTACTATGAGCCATTCCCGGTCTTTTCCGTCTTTGATATGAGAAAGAATATCCTCATGCAATGTGAATGTTCTCTCATCGTTCTCTAGCTCCTTCATTTTTCTACGTACGGCACCGAATCGAGCACCTTCCTCGAGCAGCATCAATTTCATAGTCTCCTGGTGTATCATTCGGGCCGTTGCCTCTTGTTCTGCTTCCACAGGAGTTGCAAGAAAGCGGCTTTCACTCTGTAACAGGGCTGTCCACGTCACTGCATCCCACAGCATCTCAGTCACAGCGTCAGGGTGGAATTCCTTAAACCGTCGCTCAGGACGGTAGTACCTCGCTTCCTCCCACGTCCTGCGCAGTGCTCCACAGTCCAAGCCGAGCAACATATGAACCTCTGCTGGAGACAAAGCCGCCGCTACGTCCCGGGCCAGTCCTAAATCAACTACAGCCGCAACTTCGAACGTAGTTTTTATATCGCGGGGGGGCCGAACGCACTCCATCGAGGCTCCGCTGTAGTACATCCTTTCGACGACAACTACATCATCTCCTGTGCTGCTCATGGCACGACCCTGTCCCTCTTCACCTGTGGTGCTCGAAGTCACAACGACTCGACGCGTGCAGCGCCCCGTTCCAAGATAGCGTAAGTAGTCATGCAGTCGCATTGGCGAATAGTTTTCGTGAGCAGGTGGCTGTGATCCAAACCGATCATCACCTCCACCTGCTGCAGCCCGAGCTGCTATCTTTTCAAGGTAGAAATCTCCTGGCCCGTAGTTGCGGAAGAGTGCTGCCGGCAGCGGGGGCTGGTTTCCGAAGAGTCCGCCGCCGCCGAGTCGTCCACCACCTTGTGGCTCCTGCGCAGGCTGCCCGCCTCCGAACACTCCATCGGCTGCTGCACCGTCAAAGCCTGCTCCTGCAGCATTCTGTCTTGTCGCCTTCCTCCAGTTATCTTAGAGGTAGGCTTTTGGTGTTCGTTTATCCCGCTTGTTATGGCTGTCCCCCTTAGGAGAGCCATAACGAACGGTAACAAACGCACCTTTAACCTACCCTTAACTATCCTTGCCAAACAGGCCTCCTCCAACTGTACTTGTCTCCTGCAGCTCTATCGGAGTCCTGTCGACTTCCGATAACTTTTCCACCGCATCTCGTAGCGAGTTTTCGCGAATCACGAAACTTAGATCATAGCGCAAATCTTCATCTCCCAAGCCCGGCTTCGAATTCGAGCTCGCAATCTCATCCAGATCCACACGCGCATCTTGATAAGAGTGGTCACTCTTCAACACAGCAGAGCCCACCTGCACAGTGCACAGGCGAGCTGCCTCCAGTTCTCGGAGCGGGTCGTCGCCTGTTATGTAGCTATCGTGGATCTCCTCGCACAAGATATGATCAACCATCCCGTCTACATCTGGACTTTCGGAAAAGCTGACAGTGCTTCTCATCATTCTCGAGTTCTCTTCGTGTGACTGAGGGCTGCGAAGCTTAGACCTTTTTTTTTATGTATAACAATCGAGTCCCTTTTGAACATCCAGTGCTCCATCTACTTAGAGTTTGAGTTAAGCTTCATCTTGTAGCTAGAATTCGAAGTAGAAAAGAACGCACTCTATCTAAAAAGGTACAGCCCGCCGACCAAGAGGACTCTTTTGCAGATGGGCATGGGGATCAAGAGCATCATAACAATTAGACTAACGCACCGCGATGTGCCCCGCAGGAACGGAGGGTCTTTCATGATGAAAGGTCTTCGGCCAAAGTCTGTTGGGACTGTACGAGGGATTGGCTGGTTGAACTTTTCTTCACCAGTCGTTCGGTCTTTATTTTGCCGTCGCATCCTCGCGTCCAGCCGTGTAAACGGCAATCGCTGTTTCTCTTCAACGGCTGCAGAAAATATTGCGCGTTTGAAATCGATAAGTGAAAACGTCGCACACTTTTTACCCAGTGTCATCTCCGCAGTGCTATATTGCACGAATTTTTTGTCTAGCTCGACCATTATGGTCTCACCCGACAGGCTAGAAGTAACCTCCACACACAGAGCCCCGGACCCGTCTGCAGCTTGACAAGCAAAGTTGCCACACCGAAGTGCTGGTAATCCATGCGGGTGATACTCAAGTCTTTTCCTTCCAAAAACATCATTACCCTGTCCAGGCGCAGATCCCTTTCGTGGTGATGAGGTGACGAATTAGAATGAACCTTAAGATTGAAACCACGAGGAGCAATGAAAAATAATCGATGTCACTTCTAAATGTTGACGAAATAGAGTAGATCACTAACATTCAAAATACCAAAAAAAGAGGCATTGATTAGTTTCAGTGTCTCAAACATTGGTAATTCGTTCCACTTAAGAGAAGTGAATTCAATACTGCGACGAGCCTTAAAAGAATGCAGCTGAATCAGTTCTTGGAGTGGTTTCAGCGGCTGATAATCGCGGCGCAAAATCATGAGCACGATCTTCGTGCCTTCCTGGAGTGACACAAGAACACGTCTGGCGGTTCCCCATTTTTCAATCAGCTTAGGGATTCCTTTCGGCACATACTCAACATGAATTGATTCCTTCCTGGATGACAGATCGACCGAAAAACGAAATGCAGGCCGTCAGATAAAGGGCGAGGACGAAAGCACGACACAACAACTTACTAGAACAAGAATTTTTGAGAATAGAATGCACCTATGAATATTCAATCACGATTAGAATGCTGAGTATCATTTCATAAAAGAGTATAAATAGCAGATACAAACTAAAACAGCAAACGGCTGCTGCACACAGATCATGGGGCCTGCAGTATCGCCTTTTCGGGTGCTTTAGTCGTCTCTGGGGTTCATTGAATCTCGTATGATGAAACTAGGTTTTATCGTTGAAGGTCCAGTCCTTCAATGGTTTCATTACGAGTAGACCTAGACCTCTCAAACTGTTTTTTCTATGATCTTCTGTACCATAATCTCGAAACAGAGTGAACTCACGGACTACAGAGAAAGTGACACCTCTAAAAAGCAAGTCGTCAGACGAATACCACGACGGAGCAACGACCTTTCTCTCTTCCTCGTTTGTCAGTTTAGAAAAAATCACAACTAAGCTTTATTTGAGCACAAGCACACTTTGTGCTCATCAAATGCATCTTGTCAAGAGGTGCTGCGTCTATTCTCTCGTATATTCTCTTGTCTTACTCATTCTTGTCTATTCTCTTGTCTTAGCGAAGTAAAATAGGAAAACTTGTTTTGGAATCTTCGTGCTGCACAAGCATGTTGAGTTTGTTACTTTATCATTGTTCTTGTCTCAATGTTGTCTTGTCTCAGAATGAGAAGTTTCTGTTTCATAATTTGCCATTAACATCACAGTAGTTCCTATTCCATAGAGGACAACGGGTACGTGAACATTTTCGCGACTAATCTAGTTTTTGAGATGGCTTTTTCATTTTCTGAGGAAGTTTCCATACCTTAGGCACATAGTCGGCGCAAAACTGGCGTGGACAGTCTCTTCCTCCGCGAACTACAGAGTGGACGAAGCCCATGCTGAAGTTCTTCAGTTTTTTCCGCTTGACATCTTTCTTCTTCTCCCCAGTGTTTCTCACTACTTCCCGTGTGTTCAGTTCGGCGGCGCGATGACCGTGGAAACGGGAATTAGAGTAGTTTGTGATGACAACATTTTCAAGAGGGAACAGGACGTGGATGATCCTGTTCTTGACCCGTGATGATGATATTATGAAGGAACCGAAGAACGAGACATTTTACATCTGATAAGAAGATGAAAGAGGAAGATGTAAGTATACTATAAATTGTAGGTGTACAACAAGTCACATCTGATATATTTTTTCCGTGCATCATAAATATCGGATACTCCGAGTAAGCGTAGGTTTCGGCGTTGTCTCGCACGTACGCTCGCAACACTGCATTTAAGGATGTCGCCAAAGTCTCAGGCCTAAATGCATCGTTTGTCAGCTCACCTGCTGCTAGAGGAGGAGGTTGAACTTGTTGTTGTTCGTTAGAGCTAGCGTCCTGTCTTGCCATGCGCGTCTTGTTAGAGGTGCCAACAAACCATCTTTAACGACGCTTCAGACCAGGACCACTATTTTATATATACCATCCTAATGATGACGTTCCAAAAGCAAAAGATGGAGGGTACTTAGTCGTCGTTGGCCCGTAACTTTCTTCTTCATTCGAGACGCTCTGCACGCAGACGGAGACGCCAAACATGTTGGCATTAGGTTGGCTTCCGCGAGTTCCAAGTCCAGACTCTCCAATCTATCTCGCTCTTCTTGGATCTCTGCACCTTTGGCTTGATCCGCCGTCCAGTCGTGCCTCCGTGCTAGGGTGAAGTCTACATTTTTCAAAGAAGAAGCGTCATGGAGGTATGCTGAAGCCTCCAATGTCCGCAGTAAAACTTCATCCGCACCATCAGGAAGCTCCGTAGTAGTAGAGTCGGCAGATGAAGTAGGTGTAGGCGTAGGAGTAGTGGTTGGCCTTGATGATGATGGAGTGGAACTTGAACTGGATGAAGCATCTTCTTCTACAGCTACTTCTGCACCATCAATTGTATTCTCTCCATCTTCAAGAACAGTGCCTGTTCTTGAAGATGAGGTAGTACCGGAAGATATTATTCCTGGCACAACTGCGGTATTTGCAATCACTGCGGCTGCTGCAGTCTCGACAAGCAATCCTCCCGTGTCGCCGTATGCCATGAAATGCTCGTCATGAAGCAGTGCTTCTGCTGAGCGAACTGCTGCTTCATACACCTCGGAACTCTGCTCAGCAGTTTTCAAGAACGTCAATGCCATACCTCCATCTATATCTAGGACAGGACTCGTGTGGTCCTCTGACACGATACTAGTGTCCGTCTTACCGTTACCTCCAAGATGACTCCGAAACTGGAATTGTTTCCGTAGATACAACAGCCTCGCCAGTTGCTTCTCCCTTCGTTTGCCCAAGCAAATGCGGTTCGTGTGAAGACGGGCGACCCACATCCCTTTTAGCATGCCGTATGACTCTTGGATGTCACGGGGTGCCAGAACCGTGAAATCCTCAGCGGCCACTGGCGGAGAATACTCGACTACACGGTTTAAGGCGTGGATTAGACCAGCTGTGGCTGTCGGTCAGAATGTTGGTGTTGGGGTCTTTCACGTTGTAGTCGTGATCGACGTGGGAAGCACAGACGGAAAAGAGAAACAACTTAGAGTTGTTAAGTCACGCACAAAGTTAAAAAGACATCCACCTTGGCCATAATTGAGCCCAAAAATATCTTCCCAAGCTGTCCGTCACGGTCTGTGCTGGCTCCGAGAAGACGCCAATATCGAACAAGCAGGCTTGCACGATGCCTATACTATCATGCCATTCGTAGGGCTTCCACGGCAGACACTGAAAGTGAGAAGGAATGCGACGTGTGCCGAAGTGATTCATGCTGTTCGGCCGAACCTTTCCAACATACACCTCCGGATCATGCAGAGTCGGATATCGGTGATGCTCCAGCGAGAAGAGAATGTGGTGTAAGCGCTGTAACTTGTCTTGTAGGGCAGCAGTACTTTTATTCTCGTCGTCTACTACAACTACATGATCTTCAGTAGATGATGAATCTTGTTCACCTTCTTCATCGACATTTTGATTTTGTGTTTGTTCTTCTTTTTCCCCAGGATTTACTTCTGTTCCAGTTCTGTCCTCACCGTCATTCTCACCTTTATGATCTCCCTCACGACTCTTGTTTTGCTTTTGCAGCACTGCAGATTTTTGAAACCTTTCTGAGAATACTTCAGCTGGTGAAATCCCTCCATCTATCCCTTCGGACCGTACGCTCTGTCTATTCCATATCCTATCCTGCTCTTGCCGAATCCACCAGAGGTCAGTGGTAAATTTCCCCTCATCGTCCACGCTCTTTTCCGTCTTGATGTTCTTTGACGCGTCACCACCTCCACCTCCACCGGCAACAGCTGCATTATCTGTTGTAGCTCCTCCGTCTTCTTCTTCCCCAAGTTGTTCTTGCACAGCCTGGTGACTCTTCCTCATCTCCTTCTCCGCAGCTATTGCTATTGTATCGTCGATGTCACGCCTCACTGCATCACGTGCTCTTTCCAGCACCAATCGCTCGTCTTCTAGCTCTTCACGCTTCAGTATCGCCAGTCGCACTGCCAGTTTTACGAAGGCACGTCTCGAGAGACAGCTACCGTAGTTGTGTTCGGTCACTTGTCCCATCAGGATGTTGCCGTAGAGCCAGACATGCCCCAGAAAGAGCGCCTGTCGCCAAGGATCGTATCCACGAAGCAACGCAAACCGCTTAAAATTCTCAGGTATGAAATAGACATCGGATTCGAGAAAACAGTACCAATCGGGAATAAATTTGATCCCATCGGCAGAATTTGTAAGAACAACCTCTTGCTCATTTTTGGCCTCATCTGTATCTCTCCTGTCCTGCCCATCACCACCACCAGCAACAGTTTTCGTCATGAATTGTCCTTGTAATTGCGTCACGGCTTCTACATGCCTCTCAAATTTGTACTTTGCAAAGGCGTACTCTCCTTGAGCCTTGCGCAAGGCGTGTAAGGTCCGTTGCCTAGCCTCGTCCGTCCGTAGATCCGACAAATCCACGGAAAAGCGTCTCACTATGTCCCAGTCCTCGGAACCTTCAGGCAATGTTCCATGAAAATCCCTACGACTCTCTTGACGTATCTGAGATTCCAAACTGGTAGGTGAGGCGCCTTCCTCTAGAGCAGAGTGGACTACTCGTGTAGGGCCGATCTTCATTGGAGCTGCAACCTTCGAGGACTGGTTATTCCTCAACAAATTGGTTGTAGCCCATTCGTTCGCAACCGTAGGATCCAGATAGGGTGACTTTACTGCCCAATGCTTTTTTTCTCCCCTACTTCTATTTCCAAAACTCGTCTGTCCGCTTCTAGCTGTGTTTTCATCATCTTCTTGAAGATTAACATCTTCATCTCCCTCTTCCTCTTCCAATGGTTTGAAGTATATCCGCTTTTCTTCATCCGCTGCTGGCAACACGCTCTCTTGCGGTATCCAATTTCTTCCTCTAAGGATTTCCTTAAAGTTTTGGTCTTTTTCTTCCAGCAGTCTCGCAGACATCTCCAAACCACCATCTAGAGCTTCGTTTTGGTAGTATTTCTCATAGCTCTCGACGACGATGCTAGCCCACTTCTGGAGGAAATTGACCTGCGTTTTGCTGGCCCATTCGTCCTCGACTATGTCCAAGTCGTGGACGCGGTAGCCGGCAAAGCGATCTGGCGCTGTCCGGTTTGAAACGAAAAACATAAACTCATCGCAATGTGGAGCGACGCCGCGAGCTAGCTGTCGCATAGAAGGTTTCTCGTGCGGCCACACGATGGGAGAAAAACAAGCGATGGAGTGTGGCCGAGCACTCTCAGCGAACAAAAGACTCTTGTTGTCTTGCTGACCCTGACTCTTTCCTGCATCTTCTCCACGTACAACAAGACTGGGAACTTGTGTGGCTGGACTAACCAAATCGGATGCGTGGTTGACAAAAGCCGACAATACGGGACCTTTTGTCCCTTTGCTGCTTGAGACTAAACTGTCCATGTCATCTTCGTAATACAGAGAATTCTCGTCCTCCTCATCCAACTCGTCAACATCCGCAACGTCGCCCTTGGAGATATTACCACCAATTTCTGTACCTCCCAGTTTCGCTAGTAGCTCCTGCCTACCATCATGCGGATACCGCCGTAAGTAGGCTCGTAAGTTTCGTTCTATGCGCAGGTTTTCTCTGTCTTCATCTAAGTCACATTCGACAACGGCTGTTTTACTCCTAGCCCAGTCATAGAAGGGCATAGCCTTGTTTAGATCCCTATCAAGCTTCGCCACCAACATTTGCCAATGACCAGTAGCTGCTTCTGCTGCAGCTGCAGTTGCGTCCTCTTTGTCTTGCAGCTGCTGGTCATTATCTTAGAGTTGATGTAAGAGCCTTTCAAATAGTACTCATCAACTCATCACGTTCAACTGCAGTAGTTTTGTACCTATTTTTTTCATCTCATCTATTTCATCTCACTCTACAACGTCGTACCACTTCTAACAAGTAATCTTACAAGCCTTCCTACATACAATCTCAGAATCACACAATCACAAGCCGTAACCTTCTCCGCCTCCACTGTCGGCAACCGATTCCACTGTCGCTTTTGGCAGTCTCAATCCACGATTGCCTTGTTCGGAACCATTGGCATCACTTTTCTCTGCTTGTTCCATACTCTGGGTTAACTCTTGCATCAGTTCGTCACTTGGCACACACCTTGTGGAGAACAACATTGCTCCGATCTTACTCCAAAATTAGAGCTAGTACCGCAGTCGCATCCACCTTCGACGCTTCTTTTCCGACGCCTAAGAAAATGGCGCCTAAGAAAATGAAGATCATCTTCCCTTGATTGGTGTAGGTTGGTTGCCGTAACAAAAACTTCGATATGGATCCCGACCACCACACCGAAACAGATTCGAATAACCGCCGCCTTCAGAGAAGTCCATGAAGATCGTGTCTCCCCCCAAACGGACCAAGGCAGCGCGATGCTGTGCCAGCAGCCCTGCACTGCCTTCGATCTGAGGAGGGATCCGAAGACTTGCGATTAGTTCGCAGGTCCGCTTTCCAAAGTCCTCATGCCCTAGAGGTGCCTCTGGATTCAGAAGCGGAATATCATCGACTTGAAGATTTGCTTTTGCCGGGATAAACGAGCCGGTGGGGAGAGAGTATGAAAGTAGAAGTTGTGAAAAGAGTAAGCAAGTGGATGATTGAACTTCTGCGTCCTGTGGAAATCGTGAGCTTCTTACATGCTGCGCATCTTCTAAGGATGAAGAGCCTGTCAGAGTGAATCTTCTACAAAAGGAGGTCCTACAACTTCTTAATAAACATCACTAGCTATAATCATGTCCAGCATGCCACAATGAATTGGTTCGATCAATTGATTTATCATATTAAATGTTTGTTGTACATGATGTGAACTCACTTGTTCTCTACCTCTTTGCCAAAATCCTTCTACCTTCATAAATGTGGCCACAGGACCTCTGTTTGATAGAGTCCAAAACCATCGCAGAGTCGGACTTCTTCGTCCACCCCGCCTTGCCGGTCTACGCGCAGTTGCGTCTCAAACCATGACCAATAGGTGGCCACGAGATCCCCTGCTCGCATAACGGACGACCATTGATGGAAATACTTCTTCAATAGCGCAAGTTAGAGGTTGCAACACTTTTACATCCTTCAGGTGGATATCCCTGACCGTTTCCCTGCCGGCTCCCAGTAGAAAAAAAGTTGGGGATCGTTGTGGACGAGGATGTAATTGTGAAAAACCCTTAAGTCAAGGCAGCTCCATGTTCACCAAAGTGTTCTTGTGAAGACGATTGTAGGTGCTGGAAGCTTGAACCTGCAAACAAGCCAGCCGCTCGCATTTCGTAAGTCGCTATTTCAGTACGATAACGTGGCCAATCACTTGTGATGGCCCCAGCAATGCCGGCGCGCTCCTCCTCCAGAGAAAAAAGAGGCTCATCGCCAAAACAGTGCGCCACAAGCGGTAGAATTTGCCCGACCGAGTCGAGCAGCAGCATCTGATTCTGATACACGTGTAACAGGTCCGCTTTGTCCTGCCGTTGCGTATGCGCAAAGCGCATATCCTCGATCATGCCCTGCACGCATAAAACTTGGATCATATACTCTAGAGGTAAGCAGTGTCCTTTGTTTTCTACTAAATCGATGTAATAGTTGAGTATGCGTCCCTTCGAGCGCAGAACGTCGAAGTACGTCCCACTGATGAAGCGCTGACACCAACCGTTGTCATCTAGACGGCTAAAAAAGTCTTTGATGTGTGCGGGACTCTCTGGGTCGTAGCGATAAAACGACATTGATCGTCGTGGATTCGCAAACATGTCGGACATCATCACCTCGATGAGCAATCTGTGACCTGCTTGCTGCGGCTCGCACTCGCATGGCGCTCGGTAATAAGGTGGATATGGGATGGGGTAAGCGTGCACTGTTAAGCTCAAGCTGAAGAGACTGAGCAAAATAATCGTCAACTTGAGCAAAACCGGCCAAGCGAACACCTTCTTGTGCATCCAGCGGACGTACGTCAGTATTACAGGACCCATTATTTTTGAAGGTCCATCTCCACCCAGAAGACCTCTTGGCCCATTTCTTAGAAGATGAAGCCCTCGTCGCATGCATGATCGTAGAAGCCTCGCCATCCTAGCTCCAGCACCCAGACTTGGAGCCACAGCCATCCTTGTTGAAGGCCTAGCTTCTCTTACAGCTCCACCTCCAGCCACTCCATTATGCTTCCTGGAAACCAAAACTGCCATCGCCATCTGCACTTTGTCCTTGTCCTCGTGTAATAACATGCTGAATGTCATCTACAAGCGCCAAATGCGCGGTCTCTCTTGTTGAGAAGGATGCCCATGATCCTCGGCATGCTGGCCTCAATGCGCGAAACGCGCATGCCAGACAATCCTTGTCCGAAGTAGCTACCTCATGATTTATTTCAAGAATGTTGTGATAATATTATTTAAAGAGCAGCCCTCTCCTCTCGTACTAGGTTCTTACATGATCGAGCTTGTCTTTTTTCGAATAAGAACCTGTCATCTCTCAGCCCCCACTTCAGTGAGAAGGATCGTACTCGTACCAGTCCCCTCATCGACCAGGATCACGACACTCGCACCAGTCAGTCTAACAAGCACAGAAACAACCTCCTATGCATCTCTCAATTCTCATCTTCAGACAAAGACATCAGACAGTGATCAGGCCTGCAGTCTTTCATCAGACTTTTTCTATTGAGCTCTTTGCTTATTTCATAGCAGAAGTAGATGGAGTTGGGCCTGCTGATATAAGATTTGATGATTGATGTATCCACCTCGCCATCGTACTACTACGCTGTTCGCACCTACTCTATGTCCCAAACCGATCCAGCCTTACATAAAAATCGCTACACATCTGAGAACACACAGACACTAAGCAAAGCGGGAGAGGGTGGTTTTTTTATAACAAGATAATTTGAAGCAGAAGCTGCGTGGCCCAGTTCCTATGATCCGGCCTCCGAAAAACGCAAGAAGGTTTTAGATTCGATGACGTTTGGAAACGTGGAGACGCAGCGACTCAGATACGGCCGCGATCAATCCACATTAGATTCTTAATGCACAAGCTCGCCTATTATGAGCTGGCCCAAGGATCGAAAAGGAAATTTTGTCTATTCAGATCAAGCTTAGGATCTCTCCACACAAACGGGATAGCTCGACTATTCTACCCATCAAGCGTTGTGATAAGCTGTAGGTCGTTCCTAGCCCATTACTAAGAGATTTCAGACGTGTAGAGCCTTGATATGCATCCTTCACCTTCTGTTGTATTTGCCCCTCATCAAGTAGCTGGCCTAAAAACGATTGCTCGACGATGCACCAGTTGGTGTAGAGGTTAGATATGAGTTAGGATGCCCTAACTTTCACACGACAGTTGTGATACACTTCTTTTCAGATGCTCTTGTTGCGTAAGTACACTTATTCCTGTTGAAAACATACGCAAATCCTGACAGATACTTCGACTTCGATGCATACCCTCACCCACGGAAGGCAGCATCAAAAAGAGAAGTCTTCTTCACTTTCCTCCTCACTGATCTACAACGCGTCTTCTTAACTTTCTACTTTGTATCGCGGTCCCACGTTTTCGG